ATATAAATCAATATAAATATCTGAATCAGTTAAGAAGAAAAGTGAAAAATAAAAAATATATAAATCTTACCAAACCAAGAATTTTGAAAAGAAGTGTGTAGTAAATTTTGTAGAAGCCCAAGGTAAGGCCTGCTAGCCAAAGTTGGCCCATGTTAAGCTTTGGTTTGGCCCGTCATTCCATCTGAAAATAAAGGAAGAAGGATGGGGAGTTGGTTGAAGTGAATGCCTTTGACAGAAATCGTCATTTCAAATTGAATGTACACCCTTTTGTTTTCTTGTTTAATGAGGAGCTTCAAAAAAAGCCAACTAAAATGAAATGTTTCATATGAATCAGACTTTTCAAATGTGAATACTGTCACATGACAGATCGAGGACAATGAACAGGACATCGGTAAACAAATCAAGGCAAAGGCAGGACTAGTGCATTCAGTATTGATCTTCATTGTGTTACAAATTAGGTTGTTTTTGTTTTTACTAATGAAGTTGATTATAAAATGCAAAAATTATACTGCACCATCTTTTAATAAAAGCAACCCCTTTTAGTTATTTTTAAATAATAAGCAAACAAATGAGCAAATGTAATGTAATATGATTTGGGAAATTTATCTTTGGTCCACAGCCTTTAATCAAGTTTGGTTTTTGGCCCTTTATAAGAAAAAGTTTGAGCACCCCTAGTCTAAAACTTGTGTCAAACTCGGTTCCTGGAGAGACGCAGCTCTGCATAGTTTAGTTTTAACCCTAATTAAACACACCATAGCAAACTATTCCTATTCCAAACTAAGTCCTTTAAGCTTGTTTGAAACCTACAGGTAAGTGTGCTGAAGCAGGGTTGAAACTAAAGTGTGCAGGGCTGTGTACTACTTCTTTAAACTACTTATTTAAAATGAGCTGAATCAACACATTCTCAAGGTTTTTTTGGGACAACTTAATTGTTTTATGTTCAATCCACTTACATTAAGTTTGCAAAAACAATTCAGTTAAGGAGTGTGTGTGGAACACGGCATTTTTTACAGCTTACTTATTCATTCATTCATTTATCCATGCACAAAATCTATTTAAACTCCACAACATGGTTGAGATTTCAGATCATTCACTCAAACAAATATATTTTTTATTTTGCTTGTTCAAACTACTTATTTAAAATGAGCTAAATCCACGCAATTCTTGAGATTTCATTGGGACAACTTAATTTTTTTTGTTTTAAATTCACATCAATTTGTTAAAAGCGTTAAGTTAACTTAATCGATTTGTGTTAGGACAACATGAATGAATTGTGTGGAACCCTGCAGTTTTTACAGAGTTCCACACAATGGATTTCTGTTAGGACAACATGAAGGAATAAAGTTAACTTACTTGTTTTTACAAATATAAGTGGATCAAACACAAAACAATTAAATTGTGCCAAAAAAAAAAACAGAAATTGTGTTGTTTTAGCTCGTTTTAAAGAAGTATTTTGAACCTTTTGTGTTCCACATCATCAAGTCAAAGGGATTTGAACACCACTAGGATGGTAGTTCATAAATGATGACAGAACTTTCTTTCTTTTTCTTTTTCTTTTTTTTTTTGGTTTGACTGAATAGCTCTTTTAAGTGTGCCATTTTGCAGGGCGTTTTAGACTATATGCATAAGTGGATCTCTTGTTATTATTCTGCCACTTTTCGGCTGCTTTAAAACAAGCTGATTGACTCGCGGAACGTGCCAAAGTCGTAGCTTTTGTCTGTTGGTTAACGGGGGCAACTAGTGTGGCCAGCGGCGTTTTCAGAGCCTGACACATAAAACACAAGCCGAACAAACAGGGGAGGACAGGAGGAGAGGAGGGACAACCTCGGAGACTGACAACCACCAATTGACTCCAACTACATAACCCAATCATTAAAGTCGTTTCACTTCAATGAGCGGCCACCGCTGGGCCCACAGGAGAATAATATCTCCAGCTAAAATCACCCACTAAATACATGGTTTCTATTTACTTTCTCCCTTCTTCAGTTGTTTTTTTCTCTCTCTCTCTTTCTCATTCTCTCTCCCCCCTTTTCTTATCTTTTGCACGCGTTTTAGCCAGTCTTATGGACAACGGCCTATTATTTATTCAGAACGGCGACACAATGCGAAAATGCATAATTCATCGAACTTTGTACTTTGCTGTTCTATTTGAGCATGCACAATGCATGAGCCGTATGGAAATATGCAGAGGGCCAGCAAATTCCGAGATGCCTGTAACCTTTTAAAATCAACCTGGATCATTTATTTACTTGTTTGCGCATTTGTCTTTTGTGTTCAGGGCCCTGAAAACGCAACGTGTTGTGTAGATCTTTACATTTTAATGCTTTTTTTTGCATGTTTTTCTGTTGTAGGATGTGTAAGTGTTGTGTTAAGGTTATAGCACTTTTACAATGCG